CATGCCTTGTTAAAGGGACAGCGTAAGCTTTTTCTGCTGCTGCTGTTGCTGCTGCTAAAAGTGTTGCGGCTATTTTTGCGTCAGCTGAAGGCGGCTATTGTGTTGTTGTGCTGCTGCTGCTGCTTATTGCGCGCTGCTGCTGCTCTTGTTGCTGCAGCTGCAGCGTGAGTGCTGCAGCTCTGAAAATGTGCCACACTGGGCTGCTTGGACTTGGTGCTGCTGCTAACTCCGCCGCTGCTGCTGCCGTAGCTGCTGCTGCTATTGCTACTGCTCCTCTTGCTGCTGCTGCTGCTGCTTTGTGCTGCAGCTCGGCCTTGGTTTCTGCGTCTCTGGAGCCCCAAGTTGTGCAGCAGCTGTGCAAGTCTTTGCCGCACGATCTGCTCAATGACTTCCCGCCTTCTTTGCTGCTGCTGCTGCACGAGCAGCACCAGCAGCAGCAACAGCAACAGCAGCAGCAGCAGCAGCGTGAAACGGAGCAGACATCGCTGCTGCTGGCCCTAGCTGCAGCACTAGAGCAGCGTTGCAAAACTAGAGGCACTTTTGCTGGCACAGCGGACACAGCAGCAGCACAGGCAGCAGCAGCAGCGACGGCAGCAGCAGCAACAACGGCAGCAGCAGCAGCCTCGGAGTTCGCCTTGGCTGCTTTGGAAGCCCAAATTAAAATCCTACACAAACTGAGAGAGGTGACTTTGCTGCTGCAGCAGCTGCTGTCAATTTTGCTGCCGCGGCTTCTCCTGTTCTTTGCTGCAGCTGCTGCTCTGCTGCTGTGGCTGAAGCAGCTGCGCCGACGCCAATATTGCTTCTATTGCTCATGCTGCTGCTGCTGCTGCTGCTATTTCTGGCCGTAAGTGATGGCCTCCTTGAATTGCTGCTGCTGTGCTGCTGCTGCGGCTGCTGCTCAGGCCCTGCTGGAGCCGCTGGCAGGCTCTTTGGAGCTTGTGGGGTTTCGTGCTGCTGCAGCAAATCAGTTCGCGCTGCATGCGCTTGCGCTGCTGCGTCGCAGCTGCAGCAGCACCTGGATGCCGCCGCTGCAGCAGCAGCAGGTGCAGCTGCTGCAGCAAAAGCTGCGCAAGGCTTCCTGCAGCTGCCGGTGTCTCAGCGTTGCTGCTGGCCCCCGCAGCCTCCTTGCCCCAGTTCTTTCTGCTGCGCTGCAGCAGCACGTGCTGCTGCTGCACCCCCAAGTGATGCCGCTGGTATCCAGCCTCACAGCTGCTGCAGCAGACGTTGCGGCACTGCTGCACTGCAGCAGCAGCAGCAGCAGCAGCAGTTCCAGTCCTGCTGATTGGTGCCCCCTGTCTCAAGAGCAGCTGGTGCACGTCGGTCGTCAGTTGCGGGCAGCAGCAACACACTTGTTTCCCTCCGAATGCTTTCAGCAGCTGCAGCTGCAGCAGCTGCAGCAGCAGCAGCAGCAGCAGCAGCAGGAGTCTTCCCTAGAGGCCCTGCTGCGCGGGGCTCCCCACACGGAGTCCTTTTCTGTTAAATTCATTTGCCCGCAGCTCATCGGCCGCCCACTTACTGGCCACCAAGACGGTGAGATGCTGCTGCTGTTGCCGCTGCAGCGTGTGGCAGGCGCGTCCCGGCTGCTGGTGCTGCCGCTGCTGCAGCTGTTCTGTCTGTGCTGCTGCTACAGTCTGCGGAGCTAGTGCAGCAGCAGGGTGCAGTTTGGAGCTTGTTTGCTGTTGCGGTGGTCTGGCGCAGCGTGGATTGACTTGCTGCTGCAGCTGCTGCTGCTGCTGCCCCCCGGGCAGCCACGTCAAGACTGGCTGCTTGCTGCAGGCCTGGAAGGGCTGCTGCTGCAGCTGCTTTTGCGCACTTCTCTTCCTCTGAGCCGTCCCCTTTCGCTGCCGCTGCTGCTGGATGCCTGCGGCTTGCAGCTACCGCTGCAGCAAGGGCAGCAGCAACAGGAGCAGCAGCTGCTGCTATCTCCCGTCCAGCAGCAGCATCTGCACCAGGGTCCCCTACTTGCTGCAGCTGCTGCTGCTCTCGCAGATGGCCTCTATATGGCTGCCTCTCTCGCGTTTGTCAAGAGCACTGCTGCTGCTGCTGCTGCTGCTTCGCCGTGCGCCCGTGGTGCGTCTCGCGCCCCCAGCAGCAGCAACGGGAGCAGCAGCAGCAGCAGCAGCAGCAGCGGCAACAGTGGCGTGTGTATATTTAGGAAAGTTGCTGACTTTTTTGGGTGCCGCCAAACTCGCAGCAGCAACCCAGAAGGCGTTGCTGCTGACGTACTGCAGCTGCTGCTGTTGGAGAGACTGGAGGGAGACGCTGCAGCGCCCGGCAGCAGCAGCAGCAGCAACGGCAGTAGCAGCAACAGCAGCAACAGCAGCAGGAGCAGCAACGACACGGGAGGCACCCAGCACCTAAGAACTGCCTTGCTTCGCCTCATCGAGCACACCGCGGCTGAAGCTGCAGCAGCATCAGCAGCAGCAGCAGCAGCAGCAGGAACGGCAGCTAAGAAACTGTGCAGCTCTGGCTGCAGCCGCTGCCGAGCGTCGGACCACATCTTTGCTGCCTTGCTGTTGCTGTCGTGCCCGCAGCAGTGGGTTTGTGACAGAGTTTGCTTCCTTGCATGCAGCAGCGTGACCACTGGTCACTCTCTGCTGCTGCAGCCTGACTGTCTTCTGGAGGCTGTCTCGCTGGTTGGTGAGGCCCCGAGCCGCTTCGTCCGCAGCGCAGCCACGCATCTGCTGCTGCTGCTGCAGCAGCAGCAGCAGCAACAGGTGCGGCTGGGGCTGCAGCAGCAGCAGGAGCAGCAGCGGGACACGCAGCTGCTCCTGCGCGCCTGCGCCTGCCTAATCGACATGTACGATCCCTGCCTGCTGGAGGAGTGCAGCAGGACGCTGCAGCAGCAGCAGCAGCAGCCAGGGCCGCATTTCCTGCTGCAGCAGCTGCCCGTCTACCGCATGCTGCTGCTGCAGCGGCTGTTCTCCGTGTCTGCGCAACAGCGGCAAAACGCAGGAGCAGCACTGAAGCTGCTGCTGCAGCTGCCGCCCCCGCTGGGGCCGGACCCCGTGGGGGCGGCGCTGCAGCTGTGGTCGGAGAGCAAGCGGCAGCAGCAGCAGCAGCAGCAGCAAGTGCAAGGGCTGCTTTGGGAAGAAGCAGAAGCTTCCGTCCTTTGTGCTGCTGCTGCTAATCCGCGGCTTTCTGCTGCTACCCGCGCAGAGTCGCTGCGGACTTTTGAGGTGTACGTACACTCCACTGCCCAAGAAGCCAGGCCCTTCCTCCGCAGCCTTTGCTGCTCTTTGCTGACGTTGCTGCTGCAGCAGCCGCCGGAAGCAGACAGTCCTGCTGCTGCAGCTGCTGCTGTTTCTGCTGCTGCTGCTGCGGCCGCGGCCCTGCCAGAGGTCGCCACTGCAGCCTGGGACGACCAGGAGCAGCCCTTGCTTTTCTCGCTGCTGCAGTTCCTGCGCGTTGCAGCGCAGCAGCAGCAGCAGCAGCAGCACGATGCGCTCGTGACGGCTGCTGCTCGCGTGTTGGCGCTGCCGCTGCTGCTGCTGCCTCCGGGTGACCCGCTGCTGCACTACGTGATTGAGGTGTACAGACAGCTGCTGGGGGACTTGCTGCTGCAGCACTGCTTCGCCTTGGAAGCTTCTGTGTCTCTTTCATCCTTGCAGCTTTTGGCGCTGCTGCTGTTTCACCCGCAGCAGTCTTTGCTGCTTCACCACCGGGTGTGCCCCCTGGGGCCCTCGCTGGAGGCCCTGCTGCAGCAGCCTCAGCAGCAGCCACGGCTGCTGCTGCCTTCTTGGCTGCGGCTGCGCGTAGAGCTGCCCCTAGACACGGACACTATTTGCTGCTGCACTGCAGCACAAGCTAGCTGGGCTAGCCGCAGCCAGGACGCGGCCTTCTTGGTGGCTAGCCAGCTAGCTAGCGACGCCTCGGCCCTTGACGCAGCAGTTGCAGCAGCAGCAGCAGTTTCTGCTGCTGCTCCCACAAGGCCTGCTGCTGACTCGCAGCTGCTGCTGCAGGGCAGCGATGGAAGCAGCAGCAGCAACAGCGCTTTGCCCACGGGCGGGTCCTCAGACAGTGCTGCTGCAGCGCCACCAGCGCCAGGAGCAGCAGCCGCAGCAGCCACGGAAGCAGCAGCAGCAGCGCCTTGCTGCAAGGCGTGCTTCTGCTGCTCTGAGGCAGCTCAGGTCGGGCCTTTGCTGCTGCTAGAGGCGCCGCTTGGCAGCAAAAATATCCTTCGTGCTGCTGCTGCTGAGTTGTCTTTAACAAGAAAAACGGCGCAGCAACTGCTGCTGCCTTCACACCCCGCGCTGAAGAGGCTGCTGGAGGTTTTGTCCCACCCGCCGCTGCTGCGCGAGGCCTCCCCGCTGCAGCAGCAGCAGCAGCAGCAGTTGCTGCTGCAGCAATCGCTAGGTGACGGTTCCGTTCTTCCTACTGCTGCTGCTCTTTCAACTGCTGATGGCGCCCCTGCTGCTGCTGCTGCTGCTGCTGGCAGCAGCCCCCACTCTGACGCTGCCACGTACGCAGAGGCGCTGCAGTACTGCAGGAAGATCTGTGCAGCACTGCAGCAACCTGTGGAACCTGCTGCTGCTGCGGTCTGCTGCCTCAGCAGGAGAGGGCTTGCAGCAGCAGCAGCAACAGCCAAATGCTGCTGCTGCTCGCTCTCCACTGCTGCTGCCAAGGGCCTCCGCGCTATGGCCCTCGCAGCCAAAAGGTACACATATCCATTTCTGCAGCAGCTTGCGCAGCAGGTGGCTGAGGCCATGCTGGAGGCCGAGGAGCAAGCAGCAGCAGCAGCAGCAGCAGCAGCACCAAACATGGAGGAGTTAGGGCTGCATCAACCCAACTCGGGTGGCGCTGCTGTGGCGTGCAGCGGCGACGTTGACTTGCTGCTACTGGGCACGCAGCTGCTAGCGGAGCTGCTGCCTTTCGCAGCAGTTGCTGCGGCTCCTCCAGGCCCATTCCACAGCAGCAGCAGCAGCAGCAGCAGCAGCAGCAGCAGTTCAGGAGACTGCTGCAGCAGATGGATGACGCTCCCAAACGTCTCTCAGTTTTGCGGCAGCCTACTTGGGGTGTCTGCGCAGCTCCCGCTCTTGCGCCGGGCGGCGCTGCAGTTTGCTGCTGTCGTTCTGCAGCACTCGCTGCCCCCACGCTCCTGCAGCAGCAGCGGCAGCAGCAGCAGCAGCAGCAGCAAAGTGTGCCTTGCAAGGTCGGCGGCCGATGCGCCGTGGGTTCTGGATCCTGCGATCGCGTCGGGCGGCAGCAGCAGCAGCAGCAGTGTCCTGCTGCAGCTGCAACTGCAGCAGCTGCTGCAGCAGCACTCGCGCTTAGCAGCAGAAGATGAGAGCTCGGTGCAGGAGCAGCAGCCAGTAACTCAGGCCTTGGTGGCACTGCGGGTTTGTGCCCTCCACAATTCTATTGCTGCTGTTGCTGCTGCTGCGCAGGCAGCAGAGGAATGGCAGGAGCTGGCAGCAGCAGGGGCTGCAGCTCTCATGCAGGACCCCCGCTATTACGCGCAGCACTACCAGCAGCAGCAGCAGCAGCAGCAGCTGCTGCTGCTCGAAAGCCAGGTGACCCTTCTCCTCACCTTCTTGGGCAAAGCAGCCCCAAGCGTTCGTGTGGCTGCCTGGCGTTGCCTGCGGGGCTGTCTCGTTGCTGCCTCGGCTCTGCTGCAGCAGCTACAGCAGCAGCAGCAGCAGCAGCAGCCGGACTTGCTACTGCGTCTGTACAGCTGGGTCTGCCCTGCAATCTGCCAGCGCCTGCTCGAGAGAGAGGGGCTCCTCCCTGGGGGGTTTTGCTGCTGCTGCTGCTCCAGCAGCACGGAGGTGGCGGAGGCGCTGCAGTGTCTGTCCACTTTGCGCTGTTGCAGCAGACGCAGCAGCAGCAGCAGCAGCAATGACGGCGGCGACAGCTGCGCAACAGAAGCAGGAGGAGGCTGTGCCACTTCTGCTGCTGCCGCTGCTGCAGCGCTCGATGAGTGGGTCGCAAGTGAGTCGTTTGTACATCGCGCCTTCGCCGCTTTTCTTAACTGCTGCAGCAGAAGCAGCAACAGCTGCAGCAACAGCAGCAGCAACAGCAGCAAGCTTGACTCAGCGGCCCATGAAACTGCGTTGAAAGGCCTGACTGCATCTCTGGAGCTGCTTTGTTGCTCCGCCCAAACGCATGCGGCGCCGTTGCTGTTGCTTCTGCAACAAGAACAGCAGCAGCAGCAGCAACAGCAGAAAGATCAGGCTGCGCTCCTAGCTGCTGCTGCGCAGCGCAACTGGGGCAGCAGCAGCAGCACCGGCAGTAGCGGCAGCAGCATTTTGAGCAGCATTGTGGCTGCAGTTTATCCTCGGCCTAATCCTTTGCTGCAGCTCCCGCCGCATGCAGCAGCAGCAGACTCGGGCTTCGTTGGTGCTGCTGCTGCTGCTGTTGCAGCTGTGGGCACTTCAGAAGCGCCTGCTGCTTTTGCTGCTGCGTTGCAGGCAGCAGCAGCAGCAGAGGATGCAGCAGATCTCAAAGAGGTCACGAAATGCTGCAGGGCTTTGCGGCTCCTGCTGACCCTCATGGAGGGAGCTGATGCTGTCGCGCTTTGCATATGCAGAAGCAGTCCCCAAGCTGCTGCTGCTGCTGCTGCTGCTGCGCCCGTAGATGCAGCAGCAGCAGCAGCA